ATGTCCTTTTCAGGAAAGACAGGCCAGCCAGGCGGGGTGGTGGGGTTGCTCTTTATGCGCGAGAGCAGCTACAATGCGTTGAGTTCTGTCCGGGGACAGATGATGAGCGAGTTGAGAGTCTGTGGGTGAGAATTAAGGGGCGGGCTGGCAGGGGTGATACTGTTGTGGGGGTCTGTTACAGGCCACCGGATCAGGGTGAGGAAGTTGACGAGGCCTTCTACAGGCAGCTGAGAGCGGCCTCACGGTCACAGGCCGTGGTCGTTGTGGGGGATTTTAACTTCCCTGATGTTTGCTGGAAGGACTACTCGGCAACCCAGCCGCAGTCCAGGAGGTTCCTCCAGTGTATGGATGATAACTTCCTCATGCAAATGGTGGATGAGCCAACCAGGAGAGGTGCGCTGCTGGATCTCATCCTCACTAACAAGGAGGGTCTGGTTGAAGGAGTGAAGGTTGAGGGCTGCCTTGGTTGCAGCGACCACGAGATGGTGGAATTCAGGATCTTGTGTGGTAGGGTCAGTAGAATAGCAAGTAGAATCGCAACCCTGGACTTTAGCAGGGCAAACTTTGGCCTCTTCAAGCGATTGCTAGGGGAAATCCAGTGGGCTAGGCTGCTTGAAGGGAAAGGGGCCCAAGATAGTTGGTTGACGTTCAAGGACTGCTTTTTCCGAGCTCAAGATCGGAGCATCCCGACACGTAGGAAGTCAAGGAAGAGGGTCAGGAGACCTGCGTGGTTAAATAGGGAATTGCTCGGTATGCTCAAGTGGAAGAGGAGAGTTTACAGGTCATGGAAGGAAGGGCTGGCCACTTGGGAAGAATATAAGGCTGCTGCTAGAGGATGTAGGAAAGCTGCTAGGATGGCTAAGGCCTCCTTGGAATTAAAGCTGGCGAGAGGGGTCAAGGACAGCAGAAAGAGCTTTTTCAAATACATGGCAAGTAAAACTAACACCAGAGGCAGTGTAGGCCTGCTGATGAACGGGACGGGTGCCCTGGTGACAGAAGATACAGAGATGGCAGAGTTACTGAATGACTTCTTTGTCTCTGTCTACTCTGCTGGAGGCAGTCCTGAAGAGCCCTGTACCGATGAGACCCCGGATGAAGATAGGTCAACGGAGCGGTCTGCCTTAGTCGATGAGGAATGGGTTAAAGACCAGTTGAGCAATCTGGATATCCATAAATCCATGGGTCCAGATGGGATGCACCCGCGGGTGCTGAGGGAACTGGCTGAGGTCATTGCTAGACCGCTCTCCATCATCTTTACCAAGTCTTGGGAAACGGGAGAGGTGCCTGAGGACTGGAGGAAAGCAAATGTCACTCCTGTCTTCAAAAAGGGCAAGAAGGAGGACCCTGGTAACTATAGACCGGTCAGCCTTAGAGAGCAGTGTAGGGGAGAGGGACCTGGGGGTCCTGGTGGACGACAGGGTGACCATGAGCCGACACTGTGCCCTTGTGGCCAAGAAGGCCAAGTGGGTTACTGGTGTTTTAGAAGGGGGGTGGTTAGTAGGTCAAGAGAGGTCCTCCTTCCCCTCTACTCTGCCCTGGTGAGACCTCATCTGGAATATTGTGTCCAGTTCTGGGCCCCTCAGTTTAAGAAGGACAGGGACCTGCTGGAGAGAGTCCAGCGCAGGGCAACTAAGATGATTAAGGGAGTGGAGCATCTCCCTTATGAGGAAAGACTGAGGGAGCTGGGTCTCTATAGTTTGGAGAAGAGGAGATTGAGGGGTGACCTTATTAGTGTATATAAATATATAAAGGGGGAGTGTCACGAGGATGGAGCCAGGCTCTTCTCAGTGGCAAACAATGAAAGGACAAGGGGTAATGGGTACAAATTGGAGCACAAGAGGTTCCACTTAAACCTGAGAAGAAACTTCTTCTCAGTGAGGGTGACGGAACACTGGAACAGGCTGCCCAGGGAGGTTGTGGAATCTCCTTCTTTGGAGACATTCAAGACCCGCCTGGACACGTTCCTGTGTAACCTTATCTAGGTGTTCCTGCTCCGGCAGGGGGATTGGACTGGATGATCTTTTGAGGTCCCTTCCAATCTCTAACATACTGTGATACTGTGATGTATCATACATGGCAGCCCATAATAACCCATGTATCACACATGGCAGCCCATAATAACCCATGTATCACACATGGCAGCCCATAATAACCCATGTATCACACATGGCAGCCCATAATAACCCATGTATCACACATGGCAGCCCATAATAACCCATGTATCACACATGGCAGCCCATAATAACCCATGTATCACACATGGCAGCCCATAATAACCCATGTATCACACATGGCAGCCCATAACCCATCTATCACACATGGCAGCCCATGTATCACATATGTTAGCCCATGAGGACCCATGTATCACACAACAGCCCATGTATCGCATGTCAGCCCATGTTGACCCATGTATCATATATGGCAGCACATGTTGACCCATGTATCACACATGGCAGCCCATAATAACCCATGTATCACACATGGCAGCCCATGTTGACCCATGTATCACACATGGCAGCCCATGTTGACCCATGTATCACACATGGCAGCCCATGTATCACACATGACAGCCCATGTTAACCTATGTATCACTCATGTTAGCCCATGTTGACCCATGTATCACATGTGTTAGCCCGTGTTGACCCATGTATCACGTGTTAGCCCATGTTGACCCATGTATCACATGTGTTAGCCCGTGTTGACCCATGTATCACGTGTTAGCCCATGTTGACCCATGTATCACACATTAGCCCATGATGACTCATGCATCACACGACAGCCCATGTTGACCCATGTATCACACATGCCAGCCCGTGTATCACACATGCCAGCCCATGTTGACCCATGTATCATTCATGTTCGCCCATGTTGACCCATGTATCACTCATGTTAGCCCATGCTGACCCATGTATCACACATTAGCCCATGTTGACCCATGTATCACACGACAGCCCATGTTGATCCATGTATCACTCATGTTTGCCCATGTTGACCCATGTATCACACGACAGCCCATGTATCACTCATGTTAGCCCATCTATCACACATGACTGCCCATGTTGACCCATGTATCACACATGACAGCCGATGTTGACCCATGTATCACTCATGTTTGCCCATGTTGACCCATGTATTACACACAACAGCCCATGTATCACACATGACAGCCCATGTTGACCCATGTATCACTCATGACAGCCCATGTTGACCCATGTATCACACAGTAGCCCATGTATCAATCATCTATCACATGTGACAGCCTTTGTATCACTCATGTATCACTCATTAGCCCATGTTGACTCATGTATCACACATGACAGCCCATGTATCACACGACAGCCCATGTTGACCCATGTATCACATGACAGCCCATGTATCACACATGCCAGCCCATGTATCACTCACATTAGCCCATGTTGACCCATGTATCGCACATTAGCCCATGTTGAACCATGTATCACACACGCCAGACTATGTATCACGTGTTAGCCCATGATGATTCATGTATCACACAGGACAGCCCATGTATTACATGACAGCCCATGTTGACCCATGTATCACTCGTGTTAGGCCATGTTGACCCATGTATCACACACGCCAGCCCATGTATAACATGTGACAGCCCATGTTGACCCATGTATCACACATGACAGCCCATGTTGAGCCATGTATCACTCATGTTTGCCCATGTTGACCCATGTATCACACACGACAACCCACGTATCACACAGGACAGCCCATGTTGACCCATGTATCACACAGTAGCCCATGTATCAATCATCTATCACATGTGACAGCCTGTGGATCACTCATGTATCACACATGACAGCCCCTGTTGACCCATGTATCACACGACAGTCCATGTCGAGCCATGTATCACTCATGTTGACCCATGTATCACACATGACAGCCCATGTTGACCCATGTACCACACGCGCCAGCCCACGTACCACACCTATCAGCCCCCGCTGACCCCCGCAGCACCCCACAATCCACCCCACCCCTCCCCCTTCCCCCCCTTCCCCCCACCCCCACCCCCCCTCACCCCTCCTTCTCCCCCCCACCCCCACCCTTCTCCCTCCCCTTCCCCCCCCTCCCCCTCCCCGCACCCCGAGGCCTCCTCCTCCGGCAGCTCCGGTGCCCGAGGGCGCAGCCGAGCTGGAAGAAGCTCTTCCCGCAGCGCTCGCAGCCGTAGGCCCCGTGCTGCCCGCGCCGGTGCTCCAGGAGGTTCCGGCGGTACCGGAACCGGCACCCGCAGGCTCGGCAGCGCCGCCTCCTCACGCCGGGGCCGTGCTGCAGGCGCTGGTGCTCGCCGAGGGCCGCGGGCGCGGGGAACCGTCGCCGGCACAGGGCGCACTTGAAGGCGCGGGCGGCCGCGTGCACCAGGCGGTGCCGCCGCAAGGCCCAGCGGTGCCGGAAGCGCCGGGCGCAGGCGCCGCAGCGATGGGGCCGATCCTCACCGGGGCAGCGGCGCCGGTGCCACCGCAGCAGCGCCGAGGCCCAGAAGCGGCGCCCGCAAGTGCGGCAGCGGCTCCGGTGGTGCCGGCGGTGCCGAAGGAGCTCGAAGGCGCCCGGGAAGCGGCGCCCGCACTCGGAGCAGGCCGGGGGCCGCTGCGGCGATGGGAGGTGCCGGTATTTGTGCGTCACCAGCGCCAGGAAGCGGCGGAAGCTGCGGCCGCAGCGCCCGCACGTGAAGCGTTCGGCGCTCGGCACCAACGGCGGCGGCTCCGGCGGCTCCGGCGCCAGCGGTAACAAGCGCTCCGGTGCCGGCTGATGGCTCAGTTTGTGCCACATGAGGTTCTCCAGGAAGCCGAAGGCTTTGCCACAGGCATCACAACCGTAGGGCTTGTCCTGAGCGTGCGCTTCCTTATGGCCCACGGCGCGCAGGAGGTCCGGGAAGCGCTCGCCGCACTCGGCACAGCCATAGCTCAACCCCTCGGCGGCGGCGGCGGCACCGGGCAGGGGCATGCGGTGGATCTGCTTGTGCCGGGTGAGGCTCTGCGGGTAACCAAAGGCCTTGCCGCAGAGCTCGCACTTGTAGGGCCGCTCGCGCGTGTGCACCACGTGGTGCTTGCTGAGGTGGAAGGACTCGCGGAAGCGCTTGCCGCACACGGCGCACTGGTGCGGCTTCTCGCCCGTGTGGATGCGCTCGTGGCGCTTGAGCGTCTCCCGGCGCCCGAAGCAGCGCCCGCAGACGCCGCAGCCGAAGCTCTTCCCCGGCGGCAGCACCGCGGCGGCGCCGGCAGCGAAGGGTTTGTGGCCGCCGGCGTGGAGCTGCCGGTGCCGGAGCAGGCTCTGCGGCGCGGCGTAGGCTTTGCCGCAGACGTCGCAGGCGTAGCCGGGGCGCTGGGCACCGTGGGCCGCGGCCTGGTGCCGCAGCAGGTAAGCCGGGTCGCGGAACTCCTTGCCGCAAGCACCGCAGGGCACGCGGAGCAGACCGGAGTGGGTCTTGACGTGGCGGGTGAGGCTCTCGCGCCGGTTGAAGCTCTTGGAGCACACGGAGCAGGTGAAGGGCTTCTCGCCGGTGTGGATGATCTGGTGCTGGTGGAGGTGGCTCGGCTTCTTGAAGACCTTCCAGCACAAAGGGCACGTGAAGGGGCCCTCCGAGGCGGCGCCGCTCGGTGCCACCGCGACGCCCACCGGAGCCAGGAGGAGGCCACTGGGAGCGGGGATGAGGCCGCTCGGTAACGGGTTGAGGCGGGGGGCGGTTGGGTTGGAGGCGCCGGGTGCTACGGTGACGCCGTTGGGTGCTACGTTAACCCCGCTCGCCAACACGTTCACTCTATTGGCTGCGGCGTTGACGCCACTCAACGGGTTGACCCCACTGGGCGCGGCGCTGACCCCGACCACCAAGGCGTTGACCTCATTGGGTGCCACGGTGACCCTGGTGGGGGCCACGGCGACGCCGCTCACCAACGCGCCGACCCCGTTGGGCACCACGGTGACCTCGGTGACTCCATTGGGCGCCACGTTGACCGCATTGGGTGCCACATTGACAGCATTGGGTGCATTGACTCCATTGGGCGCGTTGACCCCATTGGCTGCCACATTGACTCCATTGGGCGCCACGCTGACCGCATTGGATGCATTGACTCTACTGGGCGCCACGTTGACCACGTTGGGTGCACTGACCCTATTGGGCGCCACGTTGGGTGCATTGACCCCATTGGGCGCCACGTTGACCACGTTGGGCGCATTGACCCCATTGGGTGCCACGTTGACCGTGTTGGGTGCATTAACCCCATTGGGTGCCACGCTGACCACGTTGACTCCATTGGGTGCCACGTTGACCACGCTGACTCCATTGGGCGCCACATTGACCCCGTTGGGTGTATTGACCCCACTGGGCGCCACGTTGACCCCATTGGGCCCTACACTGACCCCATTGGGCGCCACATTGACCGCGGTCGTGGCGGCCACCACCGCGTTGGCGCCGGCGTCGCCGGGCTCCTTATGGCAGCGCCGGTGGCGGATGAGGCTGGAGACGTGGTTGTAGGCGCGGCCGCAGGTGCCGCACTCATAGGGCCGCTCGCCGCTGTGCACCAGCATGTGCTGCACCAGGTGCGATGACTGCTTGAAGGCCTTCTGGCACACGCCGCAGGGGAAGCGCCGCTCCATCAGGTACTTGAGGCGCCGGAAGTACCCCTTCTCCTCCTTGGTCCCCATATCCGGGGGGGCCCCAGGCAGCGGTGGGGGGGTCCCCGGGGTCGCCGTAGCCATCGTCCCCCCTCGTTTCAGCCCCGCAAAGAGGTGCTGGTGGTGGCCGGAGAGGTCGACGATGCCCCATTGAGGGGCGTTGAAGGCGCTGGTGGCCTCAAAGAGGGGTTGCGGGGGCACGGGGACAGGCGGGGGGGGGTATGGGGGGGCTGGGGGTTGGACCCCCCCGCTCCCCTCTGCTTTCTTAGGCTGGGAGGAGGAGGAGGAGGAGGAGGAGGAGGAGGAAGCGGCGCCTTCCACTTTAGGCTTTGGGGGGGGGACGACGCCGGGGGTGGGGGTGTAGTCGAAGGGGGGCTGAGCGCAGGGGAGGCCGGGCAGGGTTTTGGGGTGCTCGTGGCCATAGGGCTCCATGGGCTCGAAGCGTTGGTGGTTGAGGAACTCCAGGAAGTCGAAGGGGTAACTCGGGAAGTGGACGCTGTCGTCGCCACCGGGGGCTTCCATCTCCCCTATGGGGGGGCTGGGACTGGGGGGGGGAAGAGACCTGGGGGGGGGAGGAAGAGGTTAAGGGGGGGGTCTTTGGGGTATAGGGAGGGGGGAAAGTGAGGGGCTGGGGCTGGGTTATGGGGGCTTTGTGGTCAATGGGGGCTCATGGGGGGCTTTGGGGGCAATTGGGGCTCAATGAGGGAGTCAAGGCAAAGGTTGGGGTAAATGGTGGGGGCAATGGGGGCTTAATGGAGGTGTGAATGTGGGGGGTTGGTGTCCATGGGGGGGTTAATGGGGGGGGTTTAGAAGCAATGGGGGGGGGCAATGGGGGAGTCAATGGGGAGGTTGGTGTCAATGGTCAATGGGGTGAGGGTCAATGGTGGGGTTGCTGTCAATGAGGGGGCAATGGGGGCTTAATGGAAGTGTCAATGTGGGGGGGTGGTGTCCATGGGGGGGTTTAGAAACAGTGGGGGGGACCAATGGGGGAGTCAATGGGAAGGTTGGTGTCAATGGGAGGGGCAATGGAGGGTTAATGAGGGGGTTTGTGGTCAATGGGGGTTAATGGGGGGGTTTGGGGTCAATGGGGGTTCAATGGGGAAATCAAGGCAGAGATTGGTGTCAATGGGGGGGTCAATGGGGGAGTCAGTGGTGGGGTTGGTGTTAATGAGGGGGCAATGGGGGCTTAATGGAGGTGTCAATGTGGGGGGTTGGTGTCCACGGGGGGGGGCAATGCGGGATTAATGGGGGGGTTTAGAAGCAATGGGGGGGGCAATGGGGGAGTCGATGGGGAGGTTGGTGTCAATGGGGGGCTAATCGGGGGGGTTGGGGGCAATGACGGCTCAATGGGGTGTAAAGGGGGGGGTTAACGTCACTGGGAGGGCAATCGGGGAGTCAATGGGGGGTTTTGTGTCAACGGGGGTGCAATGAAGGGTTAATGGGGGAGTTTGGAGGCAATGGAGGGGGTCGATGGGGGAGTCAATGGGGGGTTAATGGGGGGGTTGGGGTCAATGGGGGGGCAACACGGGCGTCAATGGGGGGCAGTGGGGTCAATGGGGCTCAGCCCGCAGCGGGGTGGGGGGGGGAGTTCACTCACCGGGAGGGTCGGTCCGTGTCACGTGGGGATCGGGGGTGGTCACGTGGGAGTTGGGAGGGGTGGTGTCACGTGCAGGGGGGTCCCGGCGGAGCGGGTCCCGCCGCTGGCCCCGCAGGAACGGGCCTGCAGGAGCCGCCCCCGCCGGAAGCGGAAGCGTGGTGGGTCCACGTGACGCAAAGCCCCGCCCCCTTCTTCCTTCTCCTCACCCACAATGCTTTGCGGCAGAGGTGGGGGGAAAGAGAGGCCTGAAGCACCGGGAAGCGGGGATACCGGTACCGGGATGCACAAGGGGCACGGGTGGGGGCTCGGACCCGGGTCTGCCGCCATGGGAGTGGGGAAGAGGCGAAGGAAGCGGTAGGGGAGGTGATGCCCGCACTAACGATGGCGCCGGGGCGGCCTCAGGCCGTGGCCAAGATGGTGGCTCCTGCGCCGATTAGAACGGGGCTCGAGACAAGATGGCGGCGGCTGCCCTCATCCAAGATGGCGGCCACCAGGTAGCCACACCCAATATGGCGGCCGCCTCTTACCCACAACCAAGATGGCGGCCTGGGATTGGCGCAGGGGGAGGAACGTCGCTACTCCCAGCCAATCAGAGGCGCGCATTTATGGGGGAACACCCCCCCCCCCCGGGCGGTGATGACGCCACAGAGCGGTAAGGGGAGGGGGGGTGAGCGGCTAGAGGTCGGTCCGGTCTGTGACGTCACAGCCGGGGGAGGAGGAGAGTCCCGGTGTTACCGGCGCGGCCCCTTTAAGACCTTCCCCACCCCTCCCTCCAAGACCTAAAACTGGGTCAGGCCCCGCCCACCCCTCTCGTCCCCATTGGTCAAATCTAGGTCATGCCCCGCCCCCCGCACGTTGCCCATGGCTGCTCCGCGTGACCGCGGCCAACCTCTCTCTGCCCCCCCACTCGCCGCGCTCCTATTGGCTGCTGCTGGAGCCCGGGGGGTGTGGCCTGGGCGAGGGGGCGGAGCCCCGCCCGTTGCGGGGAGGGGCGGGGCGACACGTGCTGCGGGGGCGGGCCTTGGAGCGGAGAGCACCAATGGCGGAGGCGCAACGTGCGCCCGGGGGGCGGGGCCCAGGTGGGAACGGGCAGGGCGAGAGGCGGGGCGATGTTAGCGGAGCTGTATGCGATTGGCTCAGCGCAGCGGTGGGGGCGTGGCTCCGCTTGGGCCCCCCTTTTCATGGTGGGGGGGTAGCGCGCTTTGCAGCGCCCCCGCGGGCGGCTCATGCCGAGGGATCGGCGGCAGGTTGGGAACGGGAACGGAAACGGGAACGGGAATGGGGATGGGAATGGGGACGGGAAGCAGGGATCGGAAGGGGGGTAACGGGAAAGGGAACGAGGGGGGGGCCTTTAACTGGTCCCGGGATTGGGGGGGATCGGGAGCCATGGGAGGGGGTTAAAGGGAACCGGACCCCCCCCCGTGACGTCACCCTCACGTCACTGGTGGGCTTCCCCCCCCCTCCTCCCTCCACCGTGGGAATCCATGCCGGGGTCACCCGAGGTGAAGCCGCACGTGGGCGCCCCCACGTGAGCTCCGCACGTGTGGGGTGTTCCTCCCCCCGCCCCCCCCTCCCCATTCATGACTGGGTCACGTGTTCCAGGGTGATGGACACCGCCGCCCCCCCCTCCGGTGCCTTCGCGGGGCCCCCCCCGTGGGAGCGGGGTCCCGGGGCCCCGGAGCTGGAGTTCGTGGATCTGGACGAGTTCCTGCGGGAGCACGGGCTGCCCCCGAGCCCCGCCCCCGCCCCGGGTAGAGCCGCCGCTGCGGGGGGTGAGCATGATATGTCGCGATAGAGCCTGCAGCGCGGTGACACACACCCCCCCCCCCCGCTGCAATGGGAATGGGCAAAGCCCAATTGCGTCGTTGACAGCCCCCCATTGCGATGAAGCCACTCTGTCGTGATAGAAACGCTCTCCCGTTGCCATAAGGCCTCCCTATCATGATATAAACCCCTTCCCATTGCGATAAGATCACTCTGTCGCGATATAATCTTCCTCCCATTGCCGTAAAGACCCTCTATAGCTATAAGAACTCCCTCGCGTTGCCATAAGGACCTTCTGTCGCGATACAAGCTGCCTCCCATTGCTATAAGCCCCCTCTATTGTGACATAAACTCCCTCCTGTCACCATAAGGCCCCTCTATCGCAATGTAAAGTCCCTCCCATTGCCATAAGGACCCTCTACCGCAATATAAACTCTCCCATTGCCATAAGGCCCTTCTATCACGATATAAACTCCCTTCCATTGCCATAAGGCTCTTCGCTCGCGATATAAACTCACTCCCGTTGCAATCAGAATCCTCTATCATGATATAAACTCCCTCCCATTGGTATAAGAGCCTTCTATGGTTATATAAACTTCCTCCCGTTCCGATAAGGATCCTCTATCGCAATATAAACTCCATGCTGTTGCAATCAGAACTCTCTATCACGATATAAACTCCTTTCCATTGGCCTAAGAACCCTCTGTCGTGACATAAACTTCCTCCCGTTCTGATAAGGATCCTCTATCGCGATATAAACTCTGTGCCATTTCAATCCGAACACTCTATCACGATATAAACTCCCTTCCATTGGCCTAAGAACCCTCTGTCGTGACATAAACTCCCTCCTGTTCCAATAAGGATCCTCTGTCGCGACATAAACTTCCTCCTGTTCCAATAAGGATCCTCTATCGTGACATAAACTTTCTCCTGTTCCAATAAGGATCCTCTATCGCGATATAAACCCCCTCCCATTGCCATAAGACCCCTCTATCATGCTATTCCCCCTCCCCATCGCGGCCCCCCCCCCATCCAGTCCCAGACCCATTCTCACTCTCTCCCCTTTCCTCCCCTCCCCTTGCAGCCGCCGCTCCCCCCCCTCCCCGCTGCCCCCCCACCCCCCCAGTGCCGGGGGAGCCGCCGCTGGAGGCGGAGGCGCTGGGGGAGGCCGGTCCCGGGGGGGGCCCCTTCGACCCGCGGCGGCTCCGGTTCTCGCAGGAGGAGCTGCGGCCCCAGCCCATCGCCAGGAAGGCGCGGAAGGTGCACGTGCCCGAGGAGCAGAAGGTAACGGGGGGGGGGCATGGACCCTTGGAGGGGTGAATGCCAATGGGGGGACACAGGAGGGGATGGGACCCCGTGGGGAAGGGGGACCTGGGTGGTAGAGGGGGGTCTGAGGTGTTCCTCGGACACTAAAGGGATGGGGGCACTCAGGAGATGGGAGGGGAGCCCAGGGGTACACGGGGGGGTGTAGGAGCTAGTGGGCACCCATAGAGCTGCATAGGATCCAATGGGCTCACATAGAGCTCTATAGAACCCAATGGGCACCCACAGAGCTCTAGAGAACCCAATGGACACCCATAGAGCTCTATAGAACCCAATGGGCACCCATAGAGCTCTATAGAACCCAATGGGCACCCATAGAGCTCTATAGAACCCAATGGGCACCCATAGAGCTCTATAGAACCCAATGGGCACCCATAGAGCTCTATAGAACCCAATGGGCACCCATAGAGCTCTATAGAACCCAATGGGCACCCACAGAGCTCTACAGAACCCAATGGGTACCCACAGAGCTCTATAGACCCCAATGGGCTCCCTGTATCCCCATAGGACGAGCGGTGCTGGAGCCGGCGCAGCCGCAATAACCCAATGGGCACCCACAGAGCTCTATAGACCCCAATGGGCACCCATAGAGCTCCATAGACCCCAATGGGCACCCATAGAGCTCTATAGAACCCAATGGACACCCATAGAGCTCTAGAGAACCCAATGGGTACCCACAGAGCTCTAGAGAACCCAATGGACACCCATAGAGCTCTATAGAACCCAATGGGCACCCATAGAGCTCTATAGAACCCAATGGGCACCCATAGAGCTCTATAGAACCCAATGGGCACCCATAGAGCTCTACAGAACCCAATGGGCACCCATAGAGCTCTATAGAACCCAATGGGCACCCATAGAGCTCTAGAGAACCCAATGGGTACCCACAGAGCTCTAGAGAACCCAATGGACACCCATAGAGCTCTATAGAACCCAATGGGCACCCACAGAGCTCTATAGAACCCAATGGGCTCCCTGTATCCCCATAGGACGAGCGGTACTGGAGCCGGCGCAGCCGCAATAACCCAATGGGCACCCATACAGCTCTATAGAACCCAATGGGCACCCATAGAGCACTATAGAACCCAATGGGCACCCATAGAGCTCTATAGACCCCAATGGGCACCCATAGAGCTCTATAGAACCCAATGGACACCCATAGAGCTCTAGAGAACCCAATGGGTACCCACCGAGCTCTATAGAACCCAGTGGGCACCCATAGAGCTCTATAGAACCCAATGGGCTCCCTGTGTCCCCCATAGGACGAGCGGTACTGGAGCCGGCGCAGCCGCAATAACCCAATGGGCACCCATAGAGCTCTGTAGAACCCAATGGATACCCACCGAGCTCTATAGAACCCAATGGGCACCCATAGAGCTCTATAGACCCCAATGGGCACCCCTAGAGCTCTATAGACCCCAATGGGCACCCATAGAGCTCTATAGAACCCAGTGGGCTCCCTGTGTCCCCCATAGGACGAACGGTACTGGAGCCGGTGCAGCCGCAATAACCCAATGGGCACCCATAGAGCTCTACAGAACCCAATGGACACCCATAGAGCTCTATAGACCCCAATGGGCACCCATAGAGCTCTATAGACCCCAATGGGCACCCATAGAGCTCTGTAGAACCCAATGGGCTCCCTGTGTCCCCATAGGACGAGCGGTACTGGAGCCGGTGCAGCCGCAATAACCCAATGGGCACCCATAGAGCTCTACAGAACCCAATGGACACCCATAGAGCTCTATAGACCCCAATGGGCACCCCTAGAGCTCTATAGACCCCAATGGGCACCCATAGAGCTCTATAGACCCCAATGGGCACCCCTAGAGCTCTATAGACCCCAATGGGCACCCATAGAGCTCTGTAGAACCCAATGGGCTCCCTGTGTCCCCATAGGACGAGCGGTACTGGAGCCGGCGCAGCCGCAATAACCCAATGGGCACCCATAGAGCTCTATAGAACCCAATGGGCACCCATAGAGCTCTATAGACCCCAATGGGCACCCCTAGAGCTCTATAGACCCCAATGGGCTCCCTGTGTCCCCATAGGACGAGCGGTACTGGAGCCGGCGCAGCCGCAATAACGCGGCAGCCAAGCGCTCGCGGGACGCGCGGCGCCTCAAGGAGAACCAGATCTCGGTGCGCGCGGCCTTCCTGGAGCGGGAGAACGCGGCGCTGCGCCAGGACGTGGCCGCGGCCCGCAGGGAGCTGGCGCGGTTCCGGGGGCTGCTGGCGCGCTACGAGGCACGGCATGGAGCACTGTGAGAGGTGGGGATGGGATGGGATGGGGATGGGGATGGGATGGGGATGGGGATGGGGATGGGATGGGGATGGGGATGGGGTGGGGATGGGGATGGGGTGGGATGGGGATGGGGATGGGGATGGGATGGGGATGGGGATGGGGTGGGGATGGGGATGGGGTGGGATGGGGATGGGGATGGGATGGGGATGGGGATGGGGATGGGGTGGGGATGGGGATGGGGATGGGATGGGGATGGGGATGGGGATGGGATGGGGTGGGGATGGGGATGGGGTGGGGATGGGGATGGGGATGGGATGGGGATGGGGATGGGGATGGGGATGGGATGGGGATGGGGTGGGGATGGGGATGGGGTGGGATGGGGATGGGGTGGGATGGGGATGGGGATGGGATGGGATGGGGATGGGGATGGGGATGGGATGGGGATGGGATGGGGATGGGGATGGGGATGGGGTGGGATGGGGATGGGATGGGGATGGGATGGGATGGGATGGGATGGGATGGTGATGGCAATGGGGAGGGAAGGATAGGATGGAATGGGATGGGGCTGTGGGATAGGATGGGGAGGAACGTATGGGGTTCGGGGGGTACATCATAGTGGATGCAGGCTGTGCGATGCAGATGGGATGGTTTGGCATGGGGATGGAATGGGATGGGGATGGAATGGGATGGGGAGAGCAGGGTGTGATGGGGAGGACAGGATGGGGTGGGATGGGGAGAGAAGGATGGTATGGGAAGGGAAGGATGGGATGGGGTGGGGGTTGTGGGATGGGATGGGGAGGGAAGGATGGGATTGGGGGGTACATCATGGGGGATGCGGGATGCAGGTAACCACATGGGATGGGGTAGGATGCAGAGAGTGGGATTGGATGGGGAGGGAAGGATGCAATAGAATGGGATGGGGTGGGATGGGAAGAGCAGGATGGGGGATGCGGGGTGCAGGATGGCATGGAGGGGTGCGGGATGCAGGGGACCAGATGGGATGGGATGGGGAGGGAAGGATGGGATGGGGATGGGATGGGGATGGGGATGGGATGGGGATGGGGGGCATACATCATGGGGGATGCATGGTGCAGGATGGCATGGAGGGGTGCGGGATGCAGGGGACCAGATGGGATGGGATTGGGGGGTACATGATGGGGGGTGCAGGATGGAGGGGTATGGAACAGTGTGGGATGGGGGGTAACAGGATGGGGTGAGGTGCATGGGATGGGGAGGGATGGGGTATGATGGGTTGGGGTACAGGACATTGGGGTGCGGGATGTGATGATCTGGCATTGAAAATGGTTATCTGGTATGGAATGGGGTGATGGATGGCATGGAATGGGGTGATGGATGGCATGGAATGGGGTGATGGATGGCATGGAATGGGGTGATGGATGGCATGGAATGGGGTGATGGATGGCATGGAATGGGGTGATGGATGGTATGGAATGGGGTGATGGATGGCATGGAATGGGGTGATGGATGGTATGGAATGGGGTGATGGATGGCATGGAATGGGGTGATGGATGGCATGGAATGGGGTGATGGATGGTATGGAATGGGGTGATGGATGGCATGGAATGGGGTGATGGATGGCATGGAATGGGGTGATGGATGGTATGGAATGGGGTGATGGATGGCATGGAATGGGGTGATGGATGGCATGGAATGGGGTGATGGATGGTATGGAATGGGGTGATGGATGGCATGGAATGGGGTGATGGATGGCATGGAATGGGGTGATGGATGGTATGGAATGGGGTGATGGATGGCATGGAATGGGGTGATGGATGGCATGGAATGGGGTGATGGATGGTATGGAATGGGGTGATGGATGGCATGGAATGGGGTGATGGATGGCATGGAATGGGGTGATGGATGGTATGGAATGGGGGGGGGCATGGAATGATGCTTGGTGGGAATCCCATCCTGGTGCAGGGTATGGAAGGGCTCGATCCCACTCCCACAGGGATCCCAATGGAACCGGACACTGAAGCTGGAGGGAGATGCCAGGAACCGGGATCCAGCTCCAGGAACTGGGATCGGCCTGGAAATGGGGCCAGGATCCAGCACTGGGATCCGGCTCCGGGATCCAGCCCTGGAGCCCAGTTCCATCCCTGGATCCAGAACCAGCATCAGGATCCAGCCAGACCCCCCCATGGGGGGGGGACCCCAAAACCGGACTGTTCCTCTCCCCCCACACACACACCAGGCCTGGACACCCCCATAGGGGTCCATCCACAACCCCCCCCCATAGGGAACCCCCCATTGGGGAGTGCCCCCCCATATTTATTCCCCAGCCCCATGGCTGGTTCAAAGCACAATGGGGGGGCCCTAAGTGCTGGGTGCCCCCCCCTCTGCACCCCACAGAACCCACCCCCCCATAGGACCCCATTCCCCCCAGTGACCCATTTCCAGTGCAGGCCAGTAGCGTCACTGGGGGGGGGCCCTCAACTGCCCCCCCTCCCCCCTCCCCAACACCCATTGGGGGGGGGGGGGGTTCAGCCCCTCCCCCCCGCACTTTGACCACTTTATTGCCCCTCCCCCACCCACCCCCCTCCCCCCGCACGTGGGATTTGGGGGTCGCGACCCCCCCCACTGATGGGGGGGAGGGGCGATGGGGGGGGCTTTTGTATAGAATAAACCTGTGACCCTCGAGTGGACCATTGGGATGGGGGGGGAGGGGGTGGGGGATGGGGGGGGTCAACCCGGGTCATGCCCCCTCCCCCCAAGCACTGGGCTCGCTCCACAGTTACACTTTATTGCATAGCGGATTGGGGGGGGGGGGCATTAACCGGATCCTTTGGGCCTCCCCATTGTGGGGTCCCTTTAAGCCCCCCCCCAACCCTCTGGGTTGTGCCCCAGCACAGACCTCTTGGGGCCACCCAATTGGGGGGGGGGGCCTGACCATTTGCGGTCTCCCATCTATGGGGTCCCCCATCTCAAGTCCCTTGGAATGTCCCATCCATGGAGTTCCCATGTCCCTTGGGCCATCCCACCTATGGGGTTCCCCCCTTCCCATGTCCCTTGGGCTCTCCCATCCATTGGGTCCCCCCTCCCATGTCTCTTGGTTTGTCTCATCCATGGGGTCCCCCATCCAATGTCCTTTGGGCCATCCCACCTATGGGGTTCCCCCCTTCCCATATCCTTTGGCCTCTCCCATCTATGGGGTCCCCCATCCTATGTCCTTTGGAATATCCCATCCATGGGGTTCCCATGTCCCTTGGGCTCTCCCATCCATGGGGTCCCCTATCCCATGTCCCTTGGAATGTCCCATCCATGGAGTTCCCATGTCCCTTGGGCCATCCCACCTATGGGGTTCCCCCCTCCAATGTCTCTTGGAATGTCCCATCCATGGGGTCCCCCATCCAATCTCCTTTGGGCCATCCTATCCATGGGGTTCCCCTATCCCATGTCCCTTGGGGCATCCCACCTATGGGGTTCCCCCCTCCAATGTCTCTTGGTTTGTCCCATCCATGGGGTCCCCCATCCAATGTCCCTTGGGCTCTCCCAGTCATGATGTCCCCCATCCAATCTCCTTTGGGCCATCCTATCTATGGGGTTTCCCCCTTCCCATGTCCTTTGTGCTCTCCCATCCATGGGGTCCCCCATCCCATGTCCCTTGGAATGTCCCATCTATGGGGTTCCCATATCCCTTGGGCTCTCCCATCCATGGGGTTCCCATGTCTCTTGGGCCATCCCACCTATGGGGTCCCCCCTCCCATGTCCCTTGGAATGCCCCACCCATGCCTCTTGGGCTCTCCCAGCCATGGATCCCCCCCATCCCCACCTCTACCCCCCCTCACTGCAGCACCGGCTGGGGGGGTGCGTTGGGGGTCAGCAGCCTCGCCAGCCCCCCATGCACCTGCCCCTGCACGGGGCCGTACTCCACGCGCTCCCCGTCCACCGTCAGCGTCCCACGGGGGGACAGCGGCTCCAACCGGAACGCCCTGGCCGGGACCCTGCAGAGGGCACAGGGGGGGGACCCCGAAGCCCCGACCCCCCCCCGGGTCATGGCGAGCAGGGCCCGCAGCACCGCGGCCCTCGAGGCCCCCCCCCGCACGTAGCACACGTGCAGGAGGCCGTCATCGGGGCGAGCCTGGGGGGCCGCCACCAGTTCCGCCCCCAGGTGGGACTGGGCCATGGCGAGCACCAGCACAAAGTCCCCCTCCAGGGTCACCCAGCCCGAGGGTAGCGGCTGCCCCAGGGGTGGGAGGAGGTCGTCAATGGGGCCCAATGGTGGTGGTGGGGCAGGGGGGGAGATGGGGGTTGGAGGGTGTTGGGGGGAGGTGGATCTGTCGCTTGGGGTGGGCCCAGCGTCAGTTGGGGTACCCCCATCACTTGGGGTGTTATCATTGGTGGAGGTGGCTTCATCACTTGGGGTATCTCCATCAATTGGGGTATCCCCATCCCTTGGGGTATCCCCATCAGTTGGGGTATCCCCATCAGTTGGGCTGTTCTCATTGGTGGAGGTGGCTTCATCACTTGGGGTATCTCCATCAATTGGGGTATCCCCATCCCTTGGGGTATCCCCATCCCTTGGGGTATCCCCATCAGTTGGGCTGTTCTCATTGGTGGAGGTGGCTTCATCACTTGGGGTATCCCCATCCCTTGGGGTGTCCCCATCACTTGGGATGTTCTCATTGGCTGAGGTGGCTCCATGGATGTTGGTGGTCCCATCATTTCGGGTATCTCCATCACTTGGGGTGCTCTCATTGGCTGAGGTGGCTCCATGGACATTGGCGGCTCTATTACTTGGGGTATCTCCATTACTTGGGGTATTCTCATTGGTGGAGGTGGCTACAGGGATGTTGGCAGCTCCATCACTTGGGGTATCCCCATCGCTTGGGGTGTTCTCATTGGCTGAGGTGGATGCATGGACATTGGCAGCTCCATCCCTTGGGGTGTTCTCATTGGCTGAGGTGGCTTCAGGGATGTTGGTGGTCCCATCATTTTGGGTATCTCCATCATTTGGGGTGTTCTCATTGGTGGAGGTGGCTCCAGGGATGTTGGTGGCTCCAT